GCCCATACTTTCGCTGCCTGTGTGGGCTCGGTATCCGTCTCCAAGGAATGTTCTTCATGGCTGGTGTCCTCTGATGAATCGGCTGGAAAACCGGAACAGGAAAGGGTGCGGAGATTGGGGATTTGAACACTTTTTGATCTGTTTTGGCAGTTCAAATCCCCAATGTCGGCAGAAAGCCAAGAATCCCCAATTCTACAGGAAACATCAGGAAACTGCTTTTTTCTTGGTCGTTTCAATTCTATGACTTTTCGATCGGAATGATTCCGGCAGGGGATGAAGTGATGGACCCCGAAGGGGGCATTGATGACCGAAAACAAATCGGTTCGACAACGTGTAAGATAGATCCATTCCCACTCCACACACTTCTCTAGCATTTGTTGGCAAGGTTGTTGCTTCTAGATGGTGCGTTCAGTTCCTTTTTTTCTACTTCAAAAGGGGGTGGAAGGTTGCTGCAGGAAAATGTTGGTGCTCTTTGGGTGTAAAATAACTGCCTGCGAGTGTGAATGCCGCATTGATGTTGCCGAACGACCAATGCCCGTGAATCTCGGACACACCTGCTGGAATGCTCTGCCAAACATGGCAATAGACCATCCCCCATTTGCAAAGAACCTTCCTCGATTTCCTATTCAAAGACAAGGATTAGTGGGATTGTCATTGATTTTCCATGATTTTCCCCTGGAGATGTCCCATAAAAATGTGGCCATTCCCCCGTTCCATGCGGCATGGATTTCCCATGCCCAGGGACCTGGCCCAGCCGGGGGCTGGGGGGCTTCATGATGGCCGTCTCACGATGACGGAATCTCAGGGACTGCATGAAGTTTACCCGCGAGTAAACTCACATAGACATGTGGAAATTCCATTGGAAATTTGATCATTTCCAGGGTAACCATGTAGTTTCCATGTCCATGTTCGCTAACCGGGAGGTAATGTGTATATTGGGGTCCTGCGATAGATAGAAAGTGATTCACACTATGCTGCTAGACATGATCACGTTGTTTGGTGTTTTGCCGATTGCCATGCCTTTGTTAGATTTCAGCACGTGGAGGTGTAACCAATGGAGATCTGAATCGATATCCCATCCACCCCCTGAGTTCTGCACAAATGACTGAGAGATGCTTCACCACCTTGGGAAGGCCCCGGCCGACAGGAAAACGGAGATGCAGAAAAGATACTACAAAAATAATATTGATTCTGTGTAGCGTGTACATATGCGTACATAAATGGTTAAATATGTTCGTCGGCGTGTCTTGGCAAGTGCCTCTCTCTCTCTCTCTGTGTATATGTATGTATGTATATATATATATACACATGTATATGAGCCGCTATATTTCCGCATGCGCGCGTGTGTAGGCGTATAGATATGTGTTGCTCTCTATCTATCCATCCATCCATCCATCCATCCATCCATCCCTCTCTCTCTCTCTCTCTCTCGCGCGCACCCGGAGCGAGAATCATGCCACTGGACCAAACAGCCAACTTCATCCCCTTCATCCATCTGTCTTATCTTATCTATGTTATGGTCTCGTATCTTATCCAATCTTGTCTATCTGCTCTATCTACCTAATTTAACGTTCTATCTATCTTATATGTCGATTCATCCTTTCTTATCTTGTCTTGTCTTATCTTGTCTTACTACCTGTCTGTCTGCCTGCCTGCCTGTCTGTCTGCCTGTCTGCCTGTCTGCCTGTCCAATCTAATCTAATCTAATCTAATCTAATCTAATCTAATCTAATCTATCTGTTTATCTGTCTATCTATTTTTCCACGGACCAATGCATGGGTGCATGCATCCATCCATCTAACTATCTATTTTATGTATTGTTATTTATTTATTTATTTATTATTTATTTATTTAGATCTAGAGTTTAATGGATGTTTGGAAAAAGTCCGTTCAAAAGACATGGATAATTGTACATGTACAATGTGGGAAAACCCAATAGTAGACCTACCATTTGTGGATGGTTTATACAAGCCATTTTTGGTGATTTCGGGGATTGTATGGGATTGTTTATGATCCATCCCCACATGGCACGGTAGTCCGAGGTGCTGGTGCGCGACATCGCCTTTCGCTTGTCCGAAGGAGTGGACAAGGCCTGCATGGCGCTCTGAGTCGAAGCAGTGTGTGCACCACCACCGGCCTGGCGCTGTGAAAAACCCATGGTTCGGTTGGATGAAATACTCACCAAATGGGTCCCCGATGAATTAGATCCAGTATGATCCAATACTAAACCAGGGTTTCGTGGGCTATTGCGGAAGGGGGAGGGATTACTCTTGAATGGGGAATCTCAATCAAGGGGTGGGGTTGTAATTAGCCTGAGTCAACCAAAGCGTTTGGTTTTCCACGTCTAAGTTTGAACTACCAACCCACAGAGGCAAACTGGCATCTGCTCCAACTCCATTGCAAAGCAACAAGTTGGATGCTATCAAGAAACAGCCATTCCTTGACAAAATGCACCTTTCTGTTTGGTGGATGCCGGTTAAAACAAAAAAAACACCACACGATTCGAGACTTGCAAAAACACCTGAAGATTTAAAGGTTTGAGGTTTATGAAACCAAATTCCCCCCCTGTCAGGTGAGGGTGTCTAGATTTTGTGTATCAGTTCCTCTTAGGTTCTCCTCTGCTTTCTCTTTGTTCTCGTTGTCGCTCATGGCAAGATTCCAGAACCTCTGTGTCATCCCGGACCTTGTCAGACAGCCCGTTGTGCGTCACTAAAATTGCCTGCGGCTGAACCTGTGGACAAAAAATGTCAGATTTATATCGAAGAATTCGCCGGAATGTCAGAAGATATGTCACTGCCGGAAACGTATGTCAAAAAATGCAAGCAGGTGTGTCAGAAAATATGTCCCAAAACATTTTAGACACGTGCAGAAAGACATGCCAGAAGACATGTCAGAATAGACAAAACTACATGCTAGAATACAATAAGTTCCAGAAAATATCTCAAAGAGACTGTCATGACTGTCATAGTACGGGTATGCCGGGTACGCCCCAATAATATCTGAATAATTATCAACCAACACGTCATCACATCAAAAGCCCTGTAAATAGTACAAACGATTCAAACGATTGTTACCATCAAATAGCTACAAAATCATGGGCCAACCATCATGTATCAGTGGTATTCCATGTTATCATATGTTATCATGTTAGTTATCTCCATATATTCCCAAATGTTTCACGTGTTTTATAGCGTTTTCCTTGTAAATGCTGCTGAAAAATATGCGAAAATATGCTACCCTCTGGTAAACTAACATAGCTATGGAAAATCACCATCTTTTATGGGAAAATCATGGAAATTCCACTATAAATGGCCATTTTCAATAGCTATGTTAAATTACCAGAGGGTATCTGCTATCAACCAACAGGGCCCTCAAGTCGCCGTGGCCTTGGGCATCAAGGCCGGCGGATCTTCCTCTGTGGCGCTGGGAAGCACAGGACAAATGCCTCGCGAAGCGGCAAAAAAACGATAAGGGAAGAATGGAAAACGATGGTAAAAATGGGGAGATACCATGAGATAGCCTCATTTTTCCATGAATTCACGGGTTAATAGTGGGTGAGTGGCTGAAAATGGCGAATTACTGGTTTATAATGGGAGTTTGCTTATGGAACATTGCCCATTTACAGAAGGTTTCTGATGATTTACCTATTACATAAAATTGTGATTTCCTGAAATTTCAAAATAACCAGCAGGTATGTCAAAGAAAGGGAGGCCAACTGGAAAAAAATGATGAACAACAAAATTCCAGTAAATCCAGTGAATGCGGGGATTGTACCAGAAGTAATATTCACGTGTATTCAAGATGCAGTAGTCAACAGATGTAACAATGGCCAGTGACACTAAGCAACGACACCTGTTTTAGCGGGCACCTTGAGCCAAACGTTGTTGGCCAAGTAAATGGTTTGATGACCAAAACCCCGGATTACAGGATTAAGGAAATGAGTTATCATTGTTGATAACTATTTGAATAGTCTATTCCCGTTGTAAAAGCCCTGACATTATGTACACTCTACAGTCAAAGGCAACAACAATATAGTGGGCTCCGTTTTGGGACCACTATGTGGTATGAACATGCATACACGGCATAGGGGTTATTCGAGTATTTTCTACTCCCCCCTCTCGATTGACTCCGGCCAGTGGTACGTTCGGCACCGACCTAGTCTTCTGGAGCTTTCTGGTATGGAAGAATGCGTGGAGCCTTCTTCTTGTACTTCTTTCTCACATTGGCCTTGGGTTTCGGAGCATCCTGAGTAGGCACAGGTTTTAACCTGTCCTCAGCATAGGAAGGCTGCAGAGACTCATCAAAATTCTCCTGGATCTTCAAACCAGTGTTCGTGGTCCGAGTGACCACATATCCATTGATTATTCCCAGAAGGTCCAACGCGGGTCCCCACAGTTCACCTGCCAATCCCTTAGTGAAGATATCGGCTTTCTGGCAGCGACTGGCAACTAGTTGCAAGTCCACATCGTCCTTGTCCAGTTCCTCTTTGAGGCTACCTAAGTTTATACGATGTGTTCTCTTCATATGTCGTAAACGCTTGGAATAGCCAGCAGAAACCACCTTTGCTGTGGCCTCGTTATCTTCTCTGATCAACAAGCGCGCTGACTTTCTGAATAATACTGAAAACAGCTCTAGCAACGGCAGACCTTCATCAAATAAAGTAGTAGCCATCGCTGCAGCCTCAGCTTCAGTTGTCGATCTGGAGACCGCACCTTGCTTTTTGGACATCCAGGTCAGTGGAAAACTGGTGCTCTTTCCACTTAGCTGTACCCACCCACCAGTTGTGGAATATGTGTGCTCGTCATCACCACAAAAGTCTGCGTCGCAGAAAAGCTCAACATAGATGTCATTCAAATCATCATCTACATGGCCAGTGAGTAAATGGTCTTTTGTTTCATTCAGATAACTAATCGCCCTGAAAAGATGGTTGTCACACTCAGTGGTCCATTGCTGCACCTTAGTAGCTAACCAGGTGGTTACTCTCAGCATATCAGGCCGCGACAATCGCGCCAACCACATCAGTTTCATAAGCACCGAACTGGCTGAACCTGCAAGTTCGCCCTTAGTCGGAGCCTCCTCAAGCACAGTGGTCTTTGCGAGAAATGGTGTGCTAACCCTCTTCAGTTTTGCGTGACCTATTAATCGAACATAGTCATTGACAATGCTCTCAGCATAGGCTCGCATGTCGAATGTACTGTTTCCGTTGAGCCATTTCAAATTTATATGGGGGCATGGTAAGGTAGGTGGGGGGCAAGAAGAAACTGAATCGCACCACAAATCAACTGTGTGTGGTGTAAAATGCGTTTCGCAGGGGTCAACCCCTCAAATGGTGATGTTTCCTTGCACTGCTGAGTTCCCTGCCGCGCACTCTCAACAGGAAGTGAGTGGGTGGCCGCTGGCCGATATGCCGCCAGGGGGTCTGATTTGATATGTGGCGACCATGTGGAACCATTGCAAACCAGTCAGGAAAACCCCAAAATTGATATGCACGGGGCCAGGGTGCAGACCCAATAGACAAGTGACAAGTGTTGCATTTTTTTTCCATGGCATGCCGTTGCATGGCAAACATGCGCATGAAGTAGGTAGCCTCAAATTCTTTGCTTGCGAGTTCCTGCGTGCTGATGGCCCCTTCTTGGTATGTTGCCAGACATGGCAGCGCGGATGTATACACTGAGCTTGTGCTGGCTCAGCGGCAGAACGGCCAAATCACAGTTGTTTTCAGAGCGCCGTTTTCAGAACCAGTGGTTTCGACGGTTCCCACCCGCGGCCGGCGGACATATTCTAAGTTGCCACCTGCTGATTCCTCCCAATTCCGGAGGCTCCAAGAGACTTGTTTTGTTTCAGCAGATCCTGTCGATAATTTGTGCAACTGATTTAGCTTATCCATAGCTTATCCGTTACAACGCCCATACTAACTAGTAATATGTGGATGCGCACCCTGGTTTGCACAAAAGGCCTTTGTCCAAGTAATAGCACATTGCACTGCCATGTTCTTCAAGTAGCAGTTTGTTTGAAGCCTTGTTTGGTGAAGGGGGTTGGACAGTTGGACTAGTCCATTCCCTGGGTTGGCCATGACCCACTGTTAGGATTCCAACCGGCTCTTGTTCGATGGCACAACCATTGAAGCTGTAACAGCTGAGCATGGCCAGATTGATTGGGACAAGGTGTCCGTCTTTGGTGTCGGCTCATTTTTCTTGTCGGGTTTATGGCGTACTTAACCAGCCCCATCAGCTTTTGATTCTGGCAGCACTACCGTATATGATTATAGCTTATACCGTCCTGTGTCGCGTGTTTTCCAAGTGGGTGCTGCGCAGGTTTGTCTTTGGGTGCTGGCAGCAGACACGGCGCCTCCTGCTGACTTGGTGGCCCAGCCGCCCCCGGGTAATTTGCCAATCATGCCTCGCCGGCAGCAGCTGCAGCAGCAGCAGCAGCGTCGCCTGGACGCTTCACCGCTGTCACCGGTGGATGAAACCTTGCAAAACCTTCTGCAATGTTTGGCTAGCAGCGCTTCGAGGGAACTGGGAGAACAGCTCGTCGAGAAATTGAAATTTCAATTGAAAGTGACCTCCGGGCAAACTGCCAGAGAGAAAGGGGGGATTCAGTATGATCCTATGTACGTTTTGGATAGCGTGTTGCTGGCAGACAACCTCAAGGCTTTGGGTGGCATAGGTGAAGAAGACCTTTTGGCAGATGTTGTGAGGCAGCCCAAGTCTTAGCTATATTGCTACAAACTTGGTACCAGCAGCTACGATTTTGGTTTTGAGTGTAGCACCTCATGGGGCCCCAACAGTCCCGTCCTCTAACCCCAAGGTCCATGAGTCTGGTTCTGCACCCTGACATGGCTGCTCATGTCAGCAGTCAGCCCATCAGAATTCCTCGGAAATCAATGCTTTATGAATTTCGATTGAACATCGACTATGTTTCAATGCTCTGGGCACGCCAGTTTCTGTTCAATGCCCATGATGATTTTCGAACGCACTTGCGCCTGGATTCATCACCGCAATTCAACCGGAACTATTTGGTCGGTGAAATTGACCGCATCTCATTGGCAAAAGTTTCGTCTTTGGAATTGGACGCAGTGTCATCGCGCTTAAATGTGAGCCAAGTTTCGTTTAGTGTTGCTTTTCTGTTTTAGCAATCTTAAGCAATGTTCAAAGTTCGATGTTTGCCGCTCTGTGCTGGCAGCTGCAGGTTTGAGCATGTGGACATCCAGCAGCGGTTGATGCCCATGCAAGTTCTTGGAAAGCAAGCCACAACCACAACTTTCAAGGCAAAGGCTGCGTTACGCATGCTGGCTTTGGAATCCGAGGTGGATGATGCCAGGCTGAGAGTTCGCTCCCTACTTTCGGATATGGGAGTCGGGTCCGGACTCTGGTCGCTACCAAATATTGTGGGTGGCTTCAGTTCTGAGCGGTGTTTCCCCTTTTCGATGCCGCTGGGGGACATCGACCATATGGTCCATCATGTGATGCTTGACGGCGAAGAGGGTTTCGCACTGGATTGCGACCTCTGGGCTTCCTTCAACAACCAGATCAAAGCAATATCGAAATTCTTTTCGAAAAAGGACCATTGCGAAAGGTATGTCCAGAAATGTGTACATGAGAGTCAGCGCATTCCAAATGAGTTCAAGCGATCCATTGCTAGCTTGTTTGATTGTGTTTGCCCAACCTACTGTCCAACCAGATGGCATTTTGGTTTCGAAGTCATGCATTGGGTTTCAAAACGTGAAGCGCTGATTCAATATCTGGAACCTTTGTCTGGAGATGACATTTCCCATGCAGAAGCTGACTCGATCAAACAGTTGCACAATAGTAAACTGGATAGATGCAAGTTTTGGGCGATGTTCTGGTCATTCTATGCCGCTTGATTTGAAAGCGACGGGCCCCATAAGTTTTGTTCCGTGCTTATTCTGTAAATATAAATGTGTAGTGTGTCCCAGCTAAACCGAATATAAATAATATTTGTAGTTATTACAACGACACGAGTTGAATTTCTTTGAGACAACCCACAAGGTCCTACAAGCCTGGGGATTTGAAGTTCATTCCTTTATGCACGGATGCCCTTGCCCTGCTCATCAAGGGCTTACGCCACATGAAAAGAAGCGTGCTTTGAACAACAAACCTTGCCCCATGAATGGGCGGCGAGTGATCGAACTTGCAGCTGGGAAGTGCGATGAACTTTTGTCGCATTTGAAGCAACTGATGCCACAAAGGCATCCCAAGGCCTCATCCGCTTTGGCAGAGCTAGAGAGATTGGACAAAGATTCGGCTCAAGCGGTGGCCAGGAGCTTTGCAGCTGCCAAGTCTGCAATGCTGTTTCGGTTTGAGCAGGGTACTTCCTTCTATTCTCAATTTCCTTGGAGCATGCCAAAGCTTGTGAGATACATTCTCGTGCCTGCAGAATCCCGAAATCAAGCGGTCCATGAAAGCCGTGAATTTGCAAGAC